GAGGGGGTCACAAAAAGCGCCCCAGCAAACTCGTAGGCCAGAAGAAATTTAATAATTTTAAAATGAACGCGGGTTTGAACTAGATCATGATCTATTTCTTAAAAATCAACGGGTTGCAACGCGCGTATTCTCGCTCATCGTTTAAAACTGTGATACTCAGCCAACGAAGTTCGGCAGCGAATTGAGAATTTTTGAAAAATTTACTGGGGCGCGCTTTCTGACCCCCTCGCTTGAACCCAAGTGTTTACTGTTTTGTTAGGAAATTTAGTTTTTTCTCTTCCTCTAGATTTTTCTTTTTTTTTCCTCTTTTTTTCCGCCAAAAAATCATCTACCTCTAATTTTGACCAATGTTTGCCCCTCCCTCAGAAAATTTGAAAATATCCGAAGAACCATCATATCGTCTCTTTTTTTAAAATTTTGTTTAAAAATTGAAAACTCTTAAATTTTGCCCATAACTTTCCCTTCAAAAAACGAGAATTCTTGCTCATTTCCTACCCCCCGCCGATAAATTTCTGGTATATTTTTTTTTCAGTGAAATTCATAATGTTTTTCTTGTGCTCCCCATGATTTTTTTCTGTTTTTTTTTTCGAATTGTGATTTGTGATTTTTTTTTTGAACAAATAAAATTTTGAAAGTTTAGATTTTTTAGGTCATGACATAGATTAATTTTTAAGCTGTGACCTAGATTGTTTAGGTCATGACCTAGATTTTTTAGGTCATGATGTAGAGGGGTCACCTTGGGGAGTGTTGGATTCCCCGTGACGGCTCCAGAGAAACAAGCTACCTCCTTGTGCGTGCTGTCTGGTAAAATAGGGGAAAGTGCATCGGTAACAGGGGAACTAGTTATGTCTGTAGCGAGGAGTGGGACGACGAGCGGGCAGATAAGCGGTGTAGAAACAATAATAACAACAGTAGTATCAGTGACCCATTTATTGAACGGTATATATTTAATAAAGAGAATATATCGTCAATAAGAGGGTTCCTTGGAGTCGGGCTGGCTTGGAGACGGACGAGAAGGACATCACTGATCAATAGTTGAAGGGGCAAAAAGCCTTGGGCAACAAAAACCCTTCTCCTGCCGGTGACAAGCTTATCGCTTCTCATAGACAAAGTTCCCAACAGCACACGCTTCCTAGTGGTCACGATGAGAGCACTGAAAGGAAAACACTCATGAAACAGGTCACAGAACTGGCCGTTAGTCTATTCAGAAGGAAATCTATATCAACTCACATCATTAGCGGTTTCCGATAGTCCAATAAGGCCGGTAAGGCGATCGGGGATCGCCGGAGGTCTTATAGTATTGGAATAGTAGGAATAATGATGAGTAACGAGGTTGACGGACTTGCAAACTGAAGGGAAACGTCACGGAACAGCACTGACTACTAGACTAGAATTAGACTGAGTAAAACACAGTTAATCTGTGTAAGACTCAGTTAATCTGAATAGAAAATAGGCCAGTAAACCCGTTTTGAGTGTGTGTGCGCCTTTAACCCCTTCGTGGCGAGACCTCAACGATAGGGCGCGCTTGCACGAAGGGAGAGAAAATTGGCGGGAATTTGAATATGAGATAGCAATAAAAGACTAATAAACAAAGGAAAATAAAGAAAATAAAGTGGGAAATAGGAAGATTTCTGAGGAGTAAGCACAGTGGGCTGGGCTTAGAGGTCCTCAGAATATCTTAAAGTTGTTGAGTCGGTGAATAGCCACGTGGACTCGACAGCACATGACCTAGATTTTTTAGGCTGTGATCTAGATTTTTAGGTCCTCGACCTATATTTTTTGGTCATGACCTAGATTTTTTAGGTCATGACCTAGGTTTTTTAGGTCATGACCTAGGTTTTTTAGGTCATGACCTAGATTTTTTCAGGCTGTGACCTAGATTTTTTCAGGCTGTGACCTAGATTTTTTGATCATGACCTAGATTTTTTAGGTCATGACCTAGGTTTTTTAGGTCATGACCTAGGTTTTTTAGGTCATGACCTAGATTTTTTCAGGCTGTGACCTATATTTTTTTAGGCTGTGACCTAGATTTTTTGGTCATGACCTAGATTTTTTAGGTCATGACCTAGGTTTTTTAGGTCATGATCTAGGTTTTTTAGGTCTAGATTTTTTATGTCATGATCTAGGTTTTTTAGGTCATGACCTAGGTTTTTTAGGTCATGACCTAGTTTTTTTCAGGCTGTGACCTATATTTTTTTAGGCTGTGATCTAGATTTTTTTGGTCCCGATCTAGATTTTTTTTAGGTAATGGCCTAGATTTTAAGTATTAGAAAAAATAAATTTTTAAGGTTTGAAGTCTTTCTCAGCGTCTCTCTAGCTCCTTCTATCTTTCTCGGTCTCCATGGCAACAGCTTTTTCTGCTCCAATCCCTTCCAAATCTGCCTTTTAATATCATATTATGTATATATTTTTTCTTTTTTCCGCTGATACACTTTTTCTTTTTTTCACCTTTCTCATGAAAATAATTTTCTGAATTTTCAGAATTTTGAAAATTGGAATTTTTTCTCCTTGCCTTTTTTCAGGTTTCAGAAATCAGGTTATTCATCTTTCAGCAATTTTTTGAACTTGCAATTTTGAAATTTTTAGAAAATGTACTATGATTCGAAATCTCGAGTGATAAAATGTAGTGATATGTGGATAGTGTGCGATGAGGATCATATTATGGTTAGTTGGGCGAAAAATGCCTGAAAATTTCAGCCAAATTATTTTCAGACTTCCTGGACAGCTGACTGTCCAAATGGACTATCCTTTATGCCGAATTTCTACGGATATTGGAATGATCTTCGATCGGATTCAAGCCTTCGATATTTTATAATCGATAAATCAGATTATCAGAAAATGGAAAAATTCTGGAAAACTTGTGATTCACATGAGCAAAGAGCACATTTTACTAAGAAGCTGATGTCGAATGTGACCGTTTTCATGCATACGGTATGTGCCTTTAAACAGAAGGATTACTGTAGTTTGAATTTCTGAACTTGAGATTTTGAAAACGATCAAGTTTGAAAAAATATTTTAAGATGCGCTTTAAAAAGGTGTCCAGAGTCCTTTTCCGGAATTCCTACAGTAATCCGCAATTGACCTAATACCTGGTGTCCCATATTAACATGATAGCCGAACTTCTGCAAGTTGAGTTTTCTAGGCCACCATGGTATATGACCAACATGGCGGCCTAGAAAACTCAACTTGTAAAAGTTAGGCCATCAAGTAATTTGAGATATTTTACTGGTTTTTTTTTGGATTACTGTAGCACAGTAGAATTACTGTAGTTTCATATTTGGATTACTGTATGTAGAATCGCAAAGAATTTCTGAATTTCTGCTTTTTGGAATTTCTGAATTTCTGAATTTCTGAATTTCTGAATTTCTGAATTTCTGAATTTCTGAATTTCTGTATTTCTAAATTTCTGAATTTCTAAATTTCTGATTTTCTGAATTTCTGAATTTCTGAATTTTCGAATTTCTGAATTTCTGAATTTCTGAATTTCTGAATTTCTGAATTTCTGAATTTTTCAAAAACTCACTAATCAATTCTTTTTGCTCTTCTGGCTCATTTTTTGGCTTCAAATCCGTTAAATTCAATGAGAATTGAGGTTCCCCATTGAGAATTGAATTCTGGAATTGAGTCCAAATTTTTACAGTAACCACAACATCTACAGTAATCCAAAAAAAAACTACTCACCAAAAATTGCTCAGTTACCGTAGTCCTGTCTTTGGGCACCAGAAAAAGTAGGCAGTTCGCCAATATTTGTTGGATTCTTAGACAATTTTCAGATTGCTCTTCTTTAAAAAATTGCTCAGCAAATCCGATCTGAATAAAAACTCTTGCCATCCAAACTGGCAAGCTGCTCATCGATTTTTCCAGATCCAGAAAGAAATTTCGAAATTCAGAAATTTCAAAAAATTCCCAAGTTTTGCGATATTTGCCCTCTGAAATTGTGTCGTCGCCGCTGAAACTGACGAGAAAGATGTCAGTAGTCCCACGAGTGGTACTGTAGTAGAATTCGCACATTTTTCTGATTGTCACCGTTTTGTTCATGATATAACGCAGCGAAATGAAGTGATTCTGAAATTTTTGAAACTTTTTTTTTGAATTTTTCTCAAGAACTACTAGTTTTGATGGTAAATTCTGCAAAATTTTGAAATCAGCTCCGCGAAAGCTTCAAAATGAGCCCCAACACGCCTAGGCTCCGCCCACTTTAAGTTTTGAGGCTAGAGACGCAGTGTATCTCTCTTCTCTGGCGCTCTGGCCCTAAAAGTGGGCGGAGCCTTGCGCCGTTTGGGCTTAGATTGAAGCTCTTAATGAGCTCAATCTGATAATTAACACAAAACACAAATTGTCGGATATTGGGAGAAAAAACATTTCAAAATAAAAAAAAATGTTAGAAAATTTTTTTGTAATTTTTTCGAATTTTTTTCAAAATTTCTCGATTTTTTAATTTTCAGCATATTCACCTACAAATTTTGCAAATTGGCTCATCGAGAGCTTCAAAATAAACCCCAACATGGCTAGGCTCCGCCCACTTTAAGTTTTGAGGCTAGAGACGCAGTGATCTCGCTTCTCTGGCGCTCTAGCCTCAGAAGTGGGGAGCCTAGGCGTGTTTATACTCATTTTGAAGCTCTTGATGAGGCAATTTCAAAAATTGAAACAAAAAATTGCTAAGATTTCAAAAAATTCAGAAAACACAAAAAAAACTTTTTTCGAAAAATTCACCCATTTACCTCTCTAACTTCGGTCATTTCTTTCAAAACTTCCAAAATCTGGATTTTCAGCATTTTCAGACAATTTTCATGTAACGGACACTTCTCAGTCTTCCAATTGACACCTGGGACCAGTGCTTGAAAAACGTATAAAACTGCCTGATAGGGGTCAAGGATTACTGTACAATCGGGGCTTAAAATTTTATTGTAGCCACCGTGTTCTCGCATTTCAGTCCGGCCTGAATCGTGGCCCGGATCTTCGACTATCTGGAAAAAGTTAAAAATTAAAAGTATCTAAAATTTCACTTTTAGGACCTACCGTAATCAGCTGTTTGTTAATTCCAAACAAGTCCAAAACTTGTTCAAACTCTGTGAGAGTTATTGAATTATACAAATGGTCCACACCGATTTTCCAGAAACCTCGAAGTTTTTGAAGCAATTCTGAAAAAAATGGATTTTTCTGGAAATTTCTGTTAGAGAATCTGAAAAAAAATTGTGATTTTTTCTAAAAATTTCCGCATTTTTGACAAAAAAATCATCTTAATTTCCATTTGAACCGATTTTTGGGTTCAAATTTCCAATTTTTGACCCAAAAAATCACATTTTCGGCCAAAAATCATGATTTTTCCGGCTGAAATTTTATGATTTTTTGAAACAAATTCCATCTATTACCATGATTATCTGAAATTGGCGTTCCCTGTTGTCGTAGTACAATTGGAATAATTTCCAAAACTTCCTCTGTAAAAATTCGATTTTCCAAGTTTGTGCACGCTGGAGCCGCCGGGATTGAACGGACGTAGATTTGACTTTCGTAGCGCATCTGGAATTTGTTCAGAAATTCAGAAAATCAGAAATTCAGAAATTCGGAAATTCAGAATCTCAGAAATTCAGAAATTCAGAAATTCAGAAATTCAGAAATTCAGAAATTCAGAAATTCAGAAATTCAGAAATTCAGAAATTCAAAAATTCAGAAATTCAGAAATTCAGAAATTCAGAAATTCAGAAATTCAGAAATTCAGAAATTCGAAAATTCAGAAATTCAGAAATTCAGAAATTCAGAAATTCAGAAATTCGAAAATTCAGAAATTCAGAAATTCAGAAATTCAGAAATTCAGAAAAAGAAATTCAGAAATTCAGAAATTCAGAAATTCAGAAAAAGAAATTCAGAAATTCAGAAATTCAGAAATGCTGAAATTCAAAAATTCAGAAATTCAGAAATTCAGAAAAAGAAATTCAGAAATTCAGAAATTCAGAAATTCAGAAATTCAGAAATTCAGAAATTCAGAAATTCAGAAATTCGGAAATTCAGAAATTCAGAAATTCAGAAATTCAGAAATTCAGAAATTCGGAAATTCAGAAATTCAGAAATTCAGAAATTCAGAAACTCGGAAATTCAGAAATTCAGCAATTCAGAAATTCAGAAATTCAGAAATTCAGAAATTCAGAAATTCAAAAATTCAGAAATTCAGAAATTCAGAAATTCAGAAATTCAGAAATTCAGAAATTCAGAAATTCAGAAATTCAAAATTCAGAAATTCAGAAATTCAGGAATTCAGAAATTCAGAAATTCAGAAATTCAGAAATTGGGAAATTCAGGGATTCAGAAATTCAGAAACTCGGAAAAACAGAAATTCAGAAATTCAG